CGCTGACCTGTCAGTGGAGCTCCAGATCTGCTGCCGGCTGTCTGAGTGATTGGATCCATCATTAGACCGGAGACCCTGGAGGCGTAAGGTCTGCCCTGACTCTCAAGAGTCTGTCGGAAACATTAACAGTGTGCAAGAAAATTCTGGCTCTATTATGAGATCAGCAGGAGGCTAACAGATCTGACTGCTAACACGGGAGAACCGCTGAATCGCACGTCAATGTTTATCCAGACAAAGAGCACTAGTTAAGAAAAAGACACCGTTGCTGAAATGTAGGAAGAACAAATTTAAGACCAGCTTGTTTTAAAAATTTGTGTATCAACTGTAGTGACATTAGAATATAGTTAGCTGAGATTAAACACTAAACCAAATTAATTTTGCCTTTGTCTCTGGCAGGCACACGACACTGTCTCTATTTTCACCTTTTCTGTTTTTGTATTTTGACCAAGTAATATAATAATATTTACAAGAAAAAAAAGTTATTCTTCCTAACATAAAGACTCCAGCAATACGTACACCCAACACAGGTGCGACACATGTCCAGTAGAGAACCAACACAGTAGATGACTGGATCATATAGTAAAGTATTTTTTCACGTTTACATTTTTTTTACTTCGATGTTTGAGGCAGGAGGGAGGTGAGTTGGACGGCAGATAAGAAGAGTAAGAAGACAAAACAAGCTGAATAAGAGAAACTGGAGGAGACACTGCCTTTAGGGGTTCAAACTATAAAATCTCAAGATAAGCTGAGGTGGACAAACCTTCTGACCCTGTGGCTTTCTTTACTGCATTTATTTACAGTAATTCACTTTATTTTCCCCAAAATCTTCCACACAGCAGCTGTACAGAACCGGAGGTGAGAGTAAACTTCTTGAACTGTGACTCTTCACTGCTGACTAAAGAACCGAGTGGCGTCGACGGCACAAAGCCTTGTTTTTATGATAGTAATTAGTACAACATCGTTAATCATCTCTACTGCTGCCCTCCGTATGCCTGGATGGAATACACTCAGAGTAACATCATACATTTTTAATTATCCACTACCCAAAACTTTGGCAACAACACCGAGCAATATTGAGCCTTAAATATTGTCTTAAATACATTTTAAATAATTAAACAGTCACCCACGTGTAGGAAACTCAGTCATCGACTGTTTTTGTCCTCCACTCAGTGGAAGACATTTAACAAAAATAGATGTGTCGTATATATTATTTAGATAGAGTTTACAGTCAAACAGGCTGGAATATTCAATTAGAAATGGAAAATGCCTGTTTAGTGGAAATAAATTGTCTCTCTTTTGTCCTGCATCTTCACAGGACACCACAAATCACTGCACTGTGGACTTAACAGAGCATGTACAAACAACCTGTGTTACTAATCTGACTAACCCTGGTTCAAAAGCATAGTAGAGTTACCAAACGTAGAAGAAAAGTGTAACAATCAGCCACAGGAGGGCGACAAAGCTGCAAACAAACTACACTTTTTTAGGAAATTGAGGCTCATTTTTATTTTTTTCTTCACTTTTAGTCCTTTAATTTTAGATTTCCTTTAGATCACTATGTCACTTTACCTTTTTTGATCTGTCCAAGTGACGTTGGCACAAAGTTTAAACTCTGCTGCCATCTGCAGGCCATACAGTTACAACAGACTACACAAACAACAGGCGTAGTCAATAGAGCGAAAAGAATGACAGAGAAGAGGCTTGTTAAAAAAAAAAATAAAAAAACACCAAACAATCCTTCACAATTCCTGACGAAAGCTTCAAAATGGCAACAACAAATAAAATATTTTAAAAGATATGTATCTTATCATACATAACAGCAATGACACATTTTCAAACCACAAAACATTTTTTGTTTTTCAAACAAAACCATTATCCAAATAGGTAATTGTTTAAATGGTAACTGTTTAAATAAGAACCTTCATAGATTACTGTTTGACTTTGCTGCAGTCCAAAACAGAGCTGTTCGGATTTATAGAGTAGATGTATTGAATAGTCTACACCAGCAGAGGGCAGATACACACAAGTAAAATCATCTACTACATACAGCACATTCGACCATCTCTCAACTTGAAACAGAAATATTAACGCAAATGAAGGTCACGTGTTCGTATTAATATCCCATATTTACTTGAAACAGAAATATTAACGCAAATGACGTGTTCGTATTAATATCCCATATTTGTACGAAGTGAAATGTTTTCTCTCGTAAACATTCTTAAAATGTAGCCAAACAAAAAATTACAACCTGAACATTAGAGACCATCATTACCTCTGCTCCTCTACGCCCATTCCAAATGAATATTTCATTGAAAGATAACAACAGTTTTAAATCTTAGTAATGACTTCGGTTGGATGGAAAAAAAAGTCTGTGCAAAGCATTTACTTGTGCTGACCTTCTTGAATCAGTCTGCAGCAGCGCTCCCCTGTTATTGGATTTAAATAAAGTTAATAACGTCACCCAGGAAATATATGACAACAGTCTAATTGCACCATTAAAATCAGACTTGGAGGGAATAAAAAGACTCAACGACTTAACATTCAATCTGCTCTGCACTGTGGGTGAGCTGTGTGTGTGTGTCTGGGGATAAAGTGAGAATTAAGCTGCCTTTGTGTGCGTGTGTAACTTTCTTTTTATTGCACAAAACCTACAGAATGGTAAATGTGGCTAATTGTGATGCAAGGAAAGAGTAGTACTATATTCTGGGCGCTACAGTACCGGGAACTTGTAAAAGCCAGCCAGGCGTCAGTAAAAGGCAGAGGTTTCTTAGATAATCCTCATCACTGTCCTTCAGGACACTCCGCCTCACCCTGCCTCACCCTGCCTCACCCTGCCTCACCCTGCCTCACCCTGCCTCACCCTGCCTCCCACTGCCTCACCCTCCTTGTCTCCTGGATGCTTGACTGCTCAACTGCTCTCTCCATAATCCCTCCACGCTTCTCTACAGACACAGACCAGGTGAGTGACGGTGATGAGATGAGATTTTAAAACAAAGAAGCCTCTCTGAGACCGGCTGCCTGTTTACGACAAATAAAGGCCCCTGGCTGTCAGCACCACAGGCGGGAACTGCTCTGGAGTAGAACTAAAAGGTGGGCTTCCTCTAAAATGTCAAAGAAAGATCAAGTCTTATGGCAGATTGATCACTAATTTAGCTCAATTAATCGTGATTAATTGAGCTAAATTAGTCTTCTTTTTATATCGCTAAAGTCGAAAAACAAATAAGGGCAGGTGGATGTGTGTTTCACACCTG